ATGGGGGATACTTCCCCAAACCATAAAATAGTAATTCCTAATACAAAAACCCTACATTCTACAATTGGTACCTTGGACCCTTTGAGTCAACATGTTTGACCCCTAAACCCTGGTTGTCTTCTGTTACAACCCTCAACCCTAGTCGTAATCTGATGCCGTTACACTACACTTGCCAAAAACGAGTCCTCGTGCGTAACATTCCTCAAGTATGGACAGCCCGTATAGTGAAACCCTAAAGTAGAGCCTGCACCTTCAAAGCGTTGAACTACGCTTTCTGAAACCAAACCCCAGAGGCTGATCTTTGAACCCTGAAGCAACCAAAAGTGCAGAAAGGCCTCCTAGGATCAGGAAGAGGATGCCACACACCAAGGAACCTCGGGGCTTCGGCTCTGCGGGCTTGGGATTGGTGAAATTTGGGGACCGTGGCGGAACAAGTTTCAAGGTTGCACAGACGTCTTCAAAGCCACGTGGCATTGAAAAGTCCACAATGAGGAGCTTGCACAAATCAAGAGTTAAAACAAAATATATACTATAATACAGCATGTACTATAAAATCATACATTATACTGTACAATAAAAACATCCGGCTGCATGGATTTAGGACTCGGCGAGTCTGTTCAATGGGTGTGAGACCGAAGACATGGCGGTATCACAGCGGGTCGTGGTCGCAGTGGCGGCGAGTGCCGCCGCTGTGGTTGTCTCTGCTGGTGCTGGTGTGTTATGTGCGTTCATTGCCCTTGCATGCCACCAGCAGATATCCATGGGATCCTACACCCTGAACAGGATACGCTACACCTAAACATTGTAACATCATACCCTGCACCCTCTGAAACATGATGCCCTGAGCCCAAAAAGTCGCGCCTTCCGACCAGATAACGAGGCTCTGGAATGGTGCTCTGGGGCCACCGCAGCACATCTGTGCCCATCTAGTGAAAATTCGCCATTGGTAGGTATACCTGGAGCCGGTTGAGTAAACAACATGAGTATTGTGGACGCAACGCAGTTCCCAATACGATAGCCCATGTCATTACAAGCGTTTGCTGCCGCGGCTATATGTGGGAGAGTGCACCGTACTGATGCGACGGCCCACAAGTCTGAGTGTCCTGTAGTCCCGAGAATCAGCATCAATCGTAGCCATACGGTTTGGGCTTCAGAACTTCCAGGCTACACGCCCTTGTTCCGAGGCTTGATGAAGGGACCTCTGGAATGTTCACGGGTAAGTACAAGGCGTCAATGTGAGGGGGTTCGGAGGTTTTTGTTTTGAAGGCTTTCGGAGGGTCGCGATATGAAGAGCTGCCTAAGCAAGGACCAACCTAGCATCTTGAGTGCCCAAGGGCCCCGCGGCCTTTCTTCAGGACACATCGAAGTTTGATGGCCCTCGATGATATCCGTCCACCCTTTGGGGGTCCGGTGTGGGGTTCAGGGTTTAGGGTTCCTGAAAGACCAAATGACCCCAAAAAGTAGGGGCCCTATACCCATATACTATGAATCCCTATATGGTATATGAACCTTAAACCCTTTTAGGGTTCATGTCGTCCTTAAGGTTCAGGTTGAGAAAGTTCAAGGCTCGGGGCTGGCTTGGGCTTAAAACTTTGAGCTTGCAGGGAGCCCTGAAGTACTGGACCCGATGTCAATGACAAGCACGGTTTTAAGGTGTAAGGTTTGGTTAGAAAATTACAAGTTCAGGTTCATACTTGCTGCTGACTGGAGTACAAGTGACTTCTTCCGAGACCTTAGACCGTACAATCACCCTGCCTTGTGTCTGGCTGCTGCGCCAAGTGCCATATACACCTGCCAAGGCTTCTCGATTGTGCAAGGTGTAGTGTACCGGTCCATCAATGGAGCCTTTCGAAGAGTCATCACATTCACTGGGCATTTTTGAAGTAACCAGGGAGAAAGAAGTATAAACTTGTATTTCATAATGGCTCCTTGAAGAAAAGTTGTTAAAGTATGGTACTGCAAAGGCCAGACCTCAATCACAACCTTAAAGTCAATAAAATCTGTATAAGCATCGACTCGAACGGCCTGAACCCAACATCCACAAACCCAAGCAGTTTTTACATCCAAACATCCCTGTGACTCTGCAGCTCCAAGTGTGGGTACGGCATAGACTTAGACCGAGAAATCCCCAAAACCTCGTCTACAGGATCAGGATACCGAGCTCATTGCAAACACCAGCAGAGGAAGAAAAAGAGAGAGAGAGAGAGAGAGAGACAGAGGGAGACTTCTGTGGGGCGCTCTTTGGGCTCCCTGCGTAAGCCCCAGAAACACCAGGCTCTCGTGTTTAGAGTTTGGAGTTCCGGGTAGTTCGATTGGTGGGCGAGGCAATGCGGCTCCATCAGATGCGGGTTTATGTCACTGTGGGGTTACACAGGGGTTTAGGGTTTAGGGGTTTTGGGTTTGGGATTTCGGGTACTGATTTTGGGGCTCAAGCGGCTTGAATTACGGTTGGTATCTGGGCCTTTCGGCCGTACAGGGGCTTAAAGTCTGTGTAAGGTTTCAGGCCATCCAGGGTTTCTCGTTCTACAGAGGAGATACAAATGTGCTACTTTACAGGGCCAATGTTACATTTCGTTTGCCAAGCTCCAGCACTGCCAGGCCGAAAACCTGACACGCTCGGACCCGCTTACAATCGAAGCCACGGAACGCGTTTCGGGCTTTCCCTTTGCAAGGAGTTTGGGGCATTTTATAGAAGCTTTGAAGACGGCCGAAGTTTGACAGGGTTCTGTTCAACTCATGCGTCTGTACTCTGGCTGTCCGGCCTGTTGTACCAGCAAAATGCAACATCTACTAGTTTAGAGGGGTTGCTTGTGTCGAGACTGCGCGGAACAGCAGGTTGTGGACGCTATTCGACGGATTTGTTGACTTAGTAAGTGAAGAGGGTGTAGGCTTAGAGTTTAGGAATGGTGTCTATGACTATCTGTACCTGTCACCCTACTTCAAGCCCTGCCTGCTTGGATCCCTGATCCTTGCGGGACCCTGCGAGTCTCTGGGAGAAGGCAATTTAAGGCCAAAGTAAAGGAAGCCTCAAAATCACCAACATGATTCCTATAACTATTAGGGTTCCTGAATATGGCCAACTATACTGGGATAGGCCCTGAAACCCTATGCTAATCATGAAGGCCCCTGTTTTTGAAGGGACCTTGTTGACTGAACCCAGAAGCCAAAACCATGCCTCCCGCATGAAGCTTTGCAGCCCTTGCCACCCGCACTCTCTTCGGAGGCGGATGTTCCTGGAAAGAGCGGGGTGCTTTAGCGGTTCTGTAGTTTACCTTCTCCTATGTTGCTGCAGATTCTTATCGAAAACTCTGATACAAAATCTATAGTGACCTTGCAAAAACAAACTTGCATTGTAAGCTCAAGGTGGGGTGTGGGGTTTAGGGATTGGGGGGGTAAAAATCTTTGGATTTGTGGTTTAGCGAGGCAATAGAGTTTAGGGACTAGCATTCGGGATTTAGCCACAGCTCCTGTGAGGAACAAATTTACGGAAAGCATAGAAGCAAGGTGTTACTATGAATGTCTGCATACAAAACATCCCGGCACTTATGGTCCCAAGACCAAAACCCGAACTTTGCTCACTAACGATCCGTCTTATTAGTTTTACAGGTACAACGCATGGAGGGAGTTCGCATGTCAGAACATAGAGAGGAATCCTGGGCCAATTGGTGGAGAACCCTAAACCCCTGCAGGGCCTTAGATATACTTGTCGTTCTACAAAGCTATCGAATATTTATGAACTCTAGGGTTTGGTTGGACCGTCGTGTTGAAACACAGTGTCACACTGGGGATCTACAGCACGGGTTTAGGATTGACTGGACATTGCGAAAACTACCTCGGTCTGCATATGCGGAGCTACTACACCCTTGACCCTTGCTTGAATCCCTAAACAACCCAGACCCTCTTTCGTAAGAAAAGGAATTTTGGTGCACATACCTTGAACCCGGCATAATTGAACCCAAACACCAGAAACCCTAACACTGTAAACACTAAGCTCCCCTTTGATGCATTGGGCGTGTGGGGGATATCTAACCATTTAAAATCGTAAGAAGGCCTCTCTATGTGGGTGAGCACTACACCACCGGCCTTCTGTTGGTGGCATGGCGCTCTAAGGGCGGCGCCCGCAAGCGCCACGCATCGCTGTGAGCCAAATGCATGCGGCAGAATGCACACTTGAGTTCAGGGCTTGTGCTGATAATTAGCCTGAACCCAAAACAAGCAAACAACTTTGCCTAGCTTTGTTCTTGCATGGACCCCCCGAAAAGACCTAGGAATAGGGCACCTCCATTGCAAATCCAAGGGAGGTTGCGGAGTATCCCAGAGTGCCACCAGGTTGTATGGTGCAGACCGAAAAGGCTTATCTTTTCAAGAGCAATCTTAGAGCCGGGGGGATCTTGTTCCCTAGGGCATTGTGCTTGTCCCTGGGCATGCGGAGTAGATTCAAGCTTTGGTGTTGCCTGGAAACTTTTAAGCTTTCAGTGTACAGTTCTGTCTGGAGAACACCACCTTTTCGAGTTGCTGGTGGAAAGAGCTCGAGGGTGTACGCAGGCTCAAAAAATGTGGCTGGAGCCTTGCGGCTTGATGTCTGACCATGCGCAGGTGGCCTAGTGCTTATTGGGATTACCCGCTTGCCTGTCGTACTGCCTCGTATGATCCCTAAAACCATCGGCAACCTATCTTGAGTATAATCCTGTTCGCTAATGTCATAGTACGACACACCAGAACCCCGCAAGCTAAAGCCTAAAGCTCTTCACATCTTATCACAGGGCTCTTGTAATTCCAATGGGGCTCTAGCCCAAGACGCCCGGTTACCTTCAGAAGTGTTTTCTCATTATATGCCGTGGATGCACAAGGTCAGTCGCCTACTACTACCACAGTATCTGGCTCTTTAGGGGAAGACTCTATAAAGCCCTACAGAAATCCGGTAAGGAACCCCAAAACAACCCCACCTAATTACGACCCCATGCAGAACCTGCAGAACCCCCATCGAAGTCTCGGAGAACCTCGTCGCCATAGCAGGCGGCCAGTCGCTCCGCGCGGAGCAGCGCCCAAAGCGCCAACAGGGGCCTAGACCAAGGAGTTCCCAGACACTCCAAAGAGAGTCCTACAACTTTACGGTCTAGAGGGTTGGGGGTTCAAGGTTTTAGGGGTCTTGGGCTTGGGGTATAGTTTAGTTGCTAGGGTTTTATAAAGGCCTTTGGATGGTTTAGGGTGTTCGGACTCGGGGTTTAGGGTTTAGGCTTCACTCACAGCTTTGTGGGCCCGAAGGTACACACGACGTACATAGGTACACCGATCGCGACGGCAAAGGTCGTTCTATCTGTTTGTTTTCGCAAAAAAATACGTGTAACTCTAACTCATGCACAAAATCTCATGAACGTCTAAGTAGTGTAAAGAGTAAGCGGCTCTTCGGGCTCTTGCGGAATATGAGGGTTTTATGACGGGTTTATTGCAAAGGGGTTGGAACAACGATGGGGTCTTGTAGAGGGCTGTGTGTCATATGGCTTTGTGAAATCCTCTAGTGGCTTTAATTTAGGATACCGGAGGTTTGGTGTTTTGGGTTTATTTCGGGGTTCAGAATTGGGGGCCTAGGCTAGGCGCTGGGAGTTGGCGGTTTGAGAGCCAGCGCCCCTTTGCCACAAACAGGCCTCTGTGCTGACAGCGCCTCGAGGCCCTGCCGCAAAGCTGTGGCACCTGCATCGCGGATCATAGGATGCAATGTATCTGCATATGTATAAAAAACAAACAAAGATACATGCGTAGACTGCATAGATACATCTATATGGAGGGCTGAGAGTGTATCCAAGAAAGATTCCCGTTTCTGAGACACAATTATGCCGTTGCACAGCAGTAGCTGCAAGAGGCTCACAAGTGGCCCGCCTAATGTTGCCGTGTCGGCTCCCACTTTACCACGGCCAGGCTCCCCAGAATCCCTTGACGATAGGGGTACGTACCTAAGTGGAATGATTTTCCGGGGAAAGAACGATTGGAAGGAAATGCACATGGCGAGAAGAAACCTTGCGTTGTACGTTACATGTCAGAAGCACAGATATCTTTCATTGTTCAAGAACAAGCAAGAACCCTCATCATAACCCTCATCTAGAAAACCTCACATAACCGAGATAACCCCTCAAGTTTACGAGTAACAGTCTCCCAGCCTTTCATGCGGAATGCTGGCCCTGAGCTTGCAGTTGAACGAACAACCATTCCTCATTGCCCCTAGCCCCCAAGATTATTGCAGGGGCTTGGGCTTTGAGTTTAGTATGCCCTGGGTTCTCATCATAACGACTCCTCCTAAACCCTAAACCCCTAAACCTGGGTACCGGGCACGGCGAGTCCAAAGCGAAGCTGGCGGGAATCGGCTTCGGAGGAGCCAGTGCAAGCCTGGAGCCGGGGTTTTTCGGCTGGATGTAAGGCCTGCCTGGTGCCAGGAAGACCTACCCTCTTAAGGAACCAACTAATAAACAAATAAATAAATAAATAAATATATATATATATATATATAGAGACATATTTTTGTATACATATATATCTAGAAAGCATATTAAGGCACTTTACAACGGTAGGTCTTTTCGGCCACAGGTATCGATTGCCAGTTTGGCATCAATACCGTGGTTCCTTGAAAAAGGTGTATAACCCGTGGAACGTATTTCTGGGTCCTGTAGCACGGACACTGCAGTCAACCCCACATAAGGGCTTGCAGGTTAAGGCTTGATTCTTGCAAGGGTCTCAGACGGCGCTAGATCGGACTTGTAACTCTTGGAAGTAAAAAAGCCCTTGCAGAACCTGGAAACCCCACAGGAGTAGACAGGCGATAGTGCCTCAAGTTTGAACCCCAACACAGCCCCGAATCCGCTGTGCAAAACTGAAGCCTTAACACACAGAATCTGAAACAGCGGCGGCAAGCGTTTCGTCTGTTAGAGGTGTCAAGGGTTTCATAGGGTGGGTACATTACTAATTACAGGGTCTTACCAAAAAAGAGCATAGGAGCTGTATGAGCGAAACTAGTTGCTTTTTTCAGAGACTTATTTCAAACTCCACACCACACCTTGGTTGATTCCTGCTGACGTTTTGTCGTGCGACTGCGGTCCCAAGCAAAATATACCGATAAGGACCAGTCAAAATTACGGATTCAACCTCGCATGAAGCTGTCCGGCATAGTGCTTCAGAGCCCGTACCCTAAATCCTCCCGAGCCACGCAACATGAAACCGCACGACTACGGAACGTAAACTTCTACCCTTGGAACCCCAATTCTGCACCTACAATCGCAAACCCCGCACCTCGGCTTCCTAAAGCTCTAGCGCCAAACCCTAAAACCCAAGGCGTGCAAGTGCCCTTGAAGCGGAAATAATCAGAGAAGCACGGGAGGGTTGTTCTGCAAGAAAAAGCGCTCAACCCAAAGAAATGACAGTGTAACTTGTCAAGTACATATTTCAGCTCCACGCATCGTGAGGACAACCTATGTAGCCCCCGTAGGAACCAGATCCTATAGACCCGAACATCTCAAGCCTTCTCCGACGTGGACGTCGCCACTGGCGATTGCGAGCGGCTTCGGACACACCTTGAACCCAAAGCGGTTTACTTGTGGCTATTTTAGGCTGGACATTGACAAGAAATCCCCACAGAAGCCACATCTACCCTTGTTCCGGCAAAACAGGCCCCGGGGTACTTCGATTTCCGCGACACTTTTAGGACGCTTGTCGCGAAGCTACCATACCCTAACGGCTCTATAGAAACCCGTCCTTCAGGACTTGCTACCCCAAGGCATGCTGCAAAGCATGCACATATGCATACATACATACATACATACATACATACATACATACATACATACATACATCCGTGCATGTATGCATGCATGCATGATATGTGGTTATAAAAAGAAGTCTGTAATATAGGGATGTGCATGCATTTGAAGTATGTGACGGCATAATTGTTGATGACCCACAAAATTCCACAGTTGTGGGAGAAGCTGGGAGTTTTGCTCTCAACATTTCCTTATGCACTAATTATGCAAATGTAGCATAGCATAATGCTCCAGGCTCGCAGATCGTGCAGTATATTCCCAGAGATGTTGGCCCTTTAACGCATCTGGAACAGATTCGTACCAGATCCTCAATCCCAATAAGGGAGACCATGAAACATCCCATACCTGGCAAGATCCTCTTAAGCTCAGTACGAGAAAACATGAGACATCGATAGACATCCCTAGCAAGAGCCTCTATGAAACGACCTGCGCCCTCTGAGAGCCCCACAGCGGAAGGGCGCATGCCCGTTGCCTCAGGCCAGTGCTTCCCGAAGAGAAGGGATTTACGGTCTAGGACCGGTTTAGTGTTTAGGGGCTTAGGGTAGGGCTCGAATCGCCTGCAAGGGCAGGAATATCGGTAGCCCCAGTTCCTGTAGAATCGCCCCAAATGGGGAAGGGAACGTCTTTAACATCAGCCATGGTGGGCCGTGCTGTTTATGAGCTCCTCGAGTATGGGGATGCGGTTTCACTTCGAGAGCTGCGCTTGGTCTTACAAAGCCGGACAAGCGTCGACCTGACATCCCAGAGGCCTCTCATAAAGCAAATGGCAGAGAACACCCTTGCGACACTGACTTCCGGTCTCGACTTGATGCAGATGCCGCTGGAACAAATAGCAAGATTGCGTGACCCGTGTATCGGTAAGTGGGAACCTTTCTGCAATAGGTGACACGTGTTTTGGACTGTGCCGACGGCCGAGATCAATATGAACTGTGGCAGACAACGCATCCGGGTGGAAGGCTGCCTATGTATGTCTATGACCCTAAGGCCCGACACAAGGCTTGCGAAGCGAAGGTCCAGATCCGCATGGCCAGGGGCATGATGCCCAGCATTCTGCCACGGCTCTTTGCTGACAAGCAGGTAGTGAATGATCGCCAACCCATGACTGCTTCGGGTATGCTGCTTGGGGGTGGTGCTGCCCTGCTCTGTCCTGGCTGCTTTGACCCTGGTGGCCCTTGACGCATCTTGCCGGCCAATTGTTCTGAGGATGTTCGATGCATGGCTTTTCGTGGTGGTTCACGGAGGTAGCATCGAATGGACTTCAGATCCTTTTTGTTCTAGAGGAGGGAACGCTTTTGATCGTAGGCGCTGTTAAACACAGCTTTTCCAACGATTGCTGTTGCACCCTCTAACCAGCCTTAGTGCACACTGTGGCGCTGTCCCAGATTTCTGCGCAAGGCTGAAACCAGTCCGAATTCAGACGCGCATGAATTTTGGGACGCGCTTCCCCGTGCCGCACAACGCGGCCTGAAGCACGAGTGTCCGCATCCAATCCAATCCAATCCAAGGGCTTAGGGTTGAGGGTGAGGGTGTAACCGAGGCTTTTCTATTCTCAGCAGCTCTGCTCACCGGTCTCACCTCTGCTGAGCATCAAGCACGACGACCCAAATCTTGTTCCATTGTCAGACCTGAAATCGTACCCCATGTAGATCGAGGGGCATCATTGCAACTTATCCAAAATTGCTGGGCGGCCAAATTACGCCTTTTGGTAAGTCATGAATTTAGGTGGGCTTAAGGTTCGAGTGGGCTTTGGGGTCACCTCAGAACTACGCAAGACTACGGGGATAGTAATACTAACTATCCTGATCTCTACAATACACCTTCAAGCACGATCCAGTGCTTCAATTCCCAAGACTCGGACAAGTCGTTCGCCGCAGACCGTCCATGAGAGGCCGCTTTGTGTTTCTCTGGAACTTATGTCGAGGTTTGGGTTGAAGGTTGGAGGCTTGGTAAAGACAGGGGTCAACAATTTTTAGAATTTCTATGTAGATTCATGAAGCGTAACAGTCCCCCAAGACAAATTCTAAGCATTCAGCCCCAGAAACTATATGTAGCATCCTACAGCCCACAAACTATTCTAACTGGCCATCAAGGCGTCTGGCTGGTGCAACTACGGGGCTCATGGGTTCAAGTCCGGCCGCGGCTGCAGGACGCGACTAAGTAAGGGGATTTTGGGCTTTAGGATAGGATCGGATAGGGTTTGGGGCTTTGTGGCTAGGGTTTTGGCCTTTAGGATAGGATAGGATAGGACAGGTTTTGGGGTTTGTGGGCTTGAGGTTTCGGGCTGTTGGGGGTTAGGGCTGTTGGGTTTGGGGGTTGTTGGTGTTGGACGTAAGGTAAGGCTTTGAAGCTTTCGGGCTCTAGGAAGTATGGTAAGGGTGTATTGTTGGGGATTGAAGGCATCGGGATGCATTGCTACTGCTACGGGTTCCGATACAGCTGGCAGCCACAGATTGCAGGCCAAGTTTTCCATCCCACACAAAAGGTGTTTCAACTTGGAAAACGAAACTCGCTCATGCCAACCCCAGATAAAAATCGCTTCAGCTTGTGATGAGATGGGGCCGTACTAATTGGAACAGAGGTTTGGGTCAGCAATATGATATGAGGACAGATTTAAAGGGAAAACAACTACTAATTTACTAATCGTACCAGGAACCCACGTCAGAACCTTGCGACTCCCAAACAGCATGAGCGCTTGGCTTGTCGCACCATATATGGTTTGGTGGAAATCTCAAAGAGACTTAAATACCGTGCAACACCTCAAATACGGCCCACCCGATCGTAGTTGCGAGCCTTACTTCCGGGTGCTTCGAACCCTTAACCATAATAGCTGTAATAACCCTAAAGTCATTTATGGCCTAGTCCTTAATTGGGTTTAGATATTCAGGCACCACGATGTGCCATGTGCCTTCGGCCCCAGTCACTACTGGAACCCAGACGAACGAGGTTGATGAGGGAGACTTTGTGACGAAGCCAGGGTTGGGATTTAAGGTGTGCGATCTAGGATTTAAGATTTAGGGCTAACGGTTTTTTGGTTTAGCAGGCTTTGGGGTTGCTTTTAAGCTTTCGTCTCCCACACCCCCAGGCGAAGAAACCTCTAAATCCCAAACTGCTGAACTTGTTCCGTAGGCATCCCTGCATATAACACGGACCCGGGAGACCATCTAATCCTGAAGCACCATACCAGACCATACCCGAACCCCGAACTCACGAAGCAAGGAACACTCCTGAGCAAGACTGGCAAGTTTAACCACGCTGGAACCCAAAATGCTGCATTGAACCACACGAGGCCGAAAGCTTAAAGAAACCACACAGTCCCCAAACCTAAAGACGAAGTTACACCCTACAAGTATCACCCGACGCTGTAAAGCAATGCCTAGAACCCTTCAAGCCCAAAGCACTTCCAAGCAATACGCCCCGAACCTCAATACCTTGACCCCTGTTATAGAAACCTCATAAAACACTGTTAATCGGTATTGACGCCCAAGAACACTCCACACCCCTTTTTTCGTCACCAGCGCTGCTTCATCCAAAGGGCTACGAGCTCATCCGTAGTTTCAGCAGCACGGGACCTGACAAGGAAAGACAACTCCACTTCTTGCTTCGTCTCGTATATCTGTTCAGGCTTTAGGGATTAGGGTTTGGGGTTTAGAGTTTAGGCTTGGTAATGCGGTTGTAGACAAGGCAGGTTTAGGTTCTGGGTAGAGGTCGTTGGCCGGTGTTCATGATTTGAGTTTGTTCTGGCTCTTCTCCTAAGGCTTCTGCAGCCCAAAGCTATTCTGGAGCCTGTCCGTCTTCGCCATGCAGTCCCAGGCCATTCTCCTGAAGTGTTTGTTAGCTGCCACCGCACTCGGTCCGACGAGTTGATTGAAGGCATGGCATCGAAATGAAGGCGAGATGTGCCTCAGGGCTGTTTGCCGGGCTGTAGTCAGAGCGCGTCTCTGTGGAACCTCCTAGGTTTGGGGGTTAGGCCCTGAAACATACACAGTGTAGGCCTTGAGCCAAAACTGAACGCATCCCAACTCCTGATATTCTTAATTAACACCAAATGCTAAACTCCCGACAACTTGAAGACCTTAAACCTCTAGGCCCTGTTAGTACATCCTAAGCCCTCAACTGTTCAGCCAGGCCTGTTCCCTGCAGAGGTTTCGCCGTCATTGGCGGCTTCAGCGCTTCCTGCTTCGGATGTAGGAACTCACTCTACACGCTGAATATTTGCATCCATTACAATTGAACCCAAACGAAGACAAACAAACAGCTGGTGGACACCATAGCACTATCTCTCCAGCAGCCGTTGCAGAGTCGCAGAACCCTACCAACCGAAGCGTAGCAAGGACAAAGGAAATCCTAAAACCGCAAACCAACACACTCATTGAGAATCTCCTGTTCTTGCTTGCAACCCCAAGCCTCAATCCCAAACCCATGCTTTAGGGCCCTGTATAGTCAGCTAGTGCCACTATTCACTATTCCTTAGGTTCCACAGGAAAACTAGGGTACAATGTCCTCCGATGCTCTGGTTTACTTAGTATGGTCCCTATATATATATATATATATATATATATATATATGAAATCTCAACATCCAAATCCTGAAATCCAAACGGTCAAACTGCTGGTCACCGTGCCCGTAACCCTGCAAGTACACCTCCGGTAGGCTTATAGCACCCCCTAAAGTAAAGCCGGAATCTAATAGTAAATCTCGTATTTCTTTAGTATCTGATAACAGCCCTTTATAGGTTCTAGTAACTTGTATCAAAACAACCCCTATCTTACCTTTTGATATCCCCTGCGCTGCCTTCGCTCAAGACTCTTACATAAACCCTAAACCCATGACCCTTAAACAATCTTATTTCCACTGAACCCTGAACCCACAATCTCATAACCCTGCAACCGTAAACCCCTAATTTAGCCCTTAATCTTGCAAACCCGAACCCTAAACCCTACACCCCGAATCCTAAACCCTCAAATCTGAAACCCTAAACTCACTCACTCACTCACTCGCAAATTGGTCCGAAGTCCAGAGCGAAAAGCATGCAAGCCCCAAAAACGCCGTCAGCTGTAGACGGACGCAGGGAAAAGACTAATCAAAAAGGTGAGACGGCCCTAAACCCTGAATCCTAAACCCTGATCTGTTGAATCCTGAACCCTAAACCCTGAACTTTTTTCCAGAGAATCCAAAAGCCTATAAACTCACAGAGCTTGGCCCAGGCCTGCAGCCCGCGGTGCAGCCTCCGCGCGTTCGCGGCGGCGCTGTTGCCTGGCATGGCCCAGACACCGCCCCAACAAACAGCGGACGCGAAGGGGGAGGGAGGGGGGGTTCGGAGGAGTCGTAGAAACCCCATAGTTTTTGATCTTTAAAGGGTATGAAGGGTTGTGTTATGAGACTCATTTCAAACTGCTGGAATTAGATCCGGATGACCGGCTTTGAAGGTCTCGGATAGACAATATGCCATACTTGGAGGTTCATGGTTAGTTATAAGTGGGGTTATATACCCATAACATGGCTTAAAAGTATCGTTACCCTACTTATAAATCACCCTACTTATAACTACCTGTAGCGCCCAATGTATGCAAAATAATAGCCTTTGAGGAATAGTTGCCTTTTCCAGGCACGATCCTTTGTTTTAGCCTCTCGATATGAAT